AATGGGGCCGAATCAATCTTGGAGGTTGTGTAAAAAAAAGAAAGAATGCTACTTGGCTCGGTGTTGTCTGGCCGGACTGAAACTAGATCTGTATCAATAAATGCAAATGAGTATGCAGAAAAGTCCTAGTTTAGTATAAGTCAATTACTGCAACAAGAGATTTTTTTTTAAATATAGGCCTATGCACGTTTGTATTTGTGTTTTCTACTTTACCATTAACAATGTTTAATGTTCGTTTACATTTTCAACGTTTTTCATACTAATTCAGATTACTTTTTTCTCATGATCAAAATGATTATATTTATGAAACAATTAAATAAAAAGCTTTATTAAAACATGCTCACGTCAAAGACGGTGTTCTTCCTAGATGTTGTGATATTAAAAAACTGTAAAATAAATTAATACATTATGATATTAAAATATACATTAGAACAATACCGTATTTACAAAGACAATGTTTCTATATAAATAAAGAAAATTTGAAAAAGATTCCGTACTAATAGTATCATTAATGTTCCTCAGGAATTGTTTAGCCGTACGTTCGTTTCACATTCCGTTTCACATTCCGTAGCGTACGGTAACAAAGGGGTCTGGCCCCTGGCTAAGGCTTCTTCTGGCTCTACCCTGGGGTGGATGGCCGGACCCAAGTAGAGAGCCCAGTTGGGTACGGGAAATGAAAAAATACTCATGAATAATACTGAGGCCCCCCTTTAGGTCTGTGTTTTTTGGGATTTAGCCAGTGGGACCACATAGCTGTTACGCCACACAGCAGGTAGTTCCCCGGACGCAAACCTGGGTATGATTTAAATGAATATGTCCAGCTAACTTTTAAAAATACTTAAACAAGATAAATTGCTTGCAGTGCTTTTCTTTTACGTTTACTTTGCTTTTTATTGTTTTTACGATACTGTCATAAAATTCTAATACCCTGAATAAGAAAATGAATTGCTTACTTTATTCAAGTACTGTTGTACGTACCTTAAATTGAATATTCAAATGAAAAAAAATACTATGGCTACTTTACTGTTCTACTGGCAAATGTAAGCATGTTTATACAAAAACCTCTATAAAACATATTTTAAATCTAATATATATTGTTTCATCTCTTACTCTGCTTCTTTTCTGCTGATAGTGTTACTACATGCTGATGCTGCTAAACTGTAGACCTACTAAGTACACCTACATGTCGGCATTGCTGCATTAGGGTTGTGCTGTCCTCGCTGTAAACTATGGCCTATTATTATAGCACAATAAAGTGGAGTATCTGTGTATACGTGGCCAAAAAGTGACAAAGAGATGCTGGCTCAATATTGATTTATTTTAGCTTTCGCTGGCTTAAACATTTTTACAGCTGATATTGTTCATGTTGGAATATCTACATCACAATGAATCACTATCGATTCTGTGTAAAATACGACATACTGTTTGTATGGTCGATGATAAAAGAATGATGAATGCATTCAGAATATTGAATTCACAGTTGGAAACTGTGAATTGCTTGTTATAAATTTACTAGACCTCAATTTGTTTTGTTTAGCAATATATAGTTATATATAAATATCGCAAGTATATGAACAATAAAATCCACAATTCAGCCGTTGGCTGCTAAGGATTTAATGTTGAAATCGTACCCAAATATATAAATGTAAAACAATTTGCAGATGTTGTAATAGGAAAATTTGGTGTGATTTTTTTTAACGTCTTAAGCGAAAGACTAATAACTTATTAAGCAATTCATTATTTTGTATGATAATAATCATAAGAGTCTTTACTAAGAGAAT